AGTACCAGGAGAGAGGGGGCGGGCCGAGAAATGCCTGGATGAGCATCTGAGCAGTCAGCTGTATCTACCCTCTACTCCCCACATCAAGGCTCTTCGGTCCCCACCTTTCTGTGAGACATGCTCCTTTATTAACCACTGCGCCACCTACTGGCCTCCTCATTTTATGCCAAATAACAAATTGCTTTGTTTGTTGTCTTCTGCCTATGAGAATCTCTAGGCAGTTCTTTTTCTGACCTTGGGGTAACTCTGTGTCTCAGTGCGCTATGGTAACCGCGTCTGTGTGTGTCCCGGGGGGGTCAGGCTGGCTGTGTCCCCGGGACACCCTCTGACGTCACATGCTCCAAGGGCTGATTGATTTTCTGCGCGTGTCCCTTTTGTCCCCACAGACAAGTGAATGACAAACACAGCTAATGCTGCCTTATCTGCTAAATCAAACACATCCACTCAGACCCCTGAGGCATTTAACCCCCAAGTGTGTTTTCCTGCAGTTTCATTCATCTGAAAGACGCTTCCTTGACAATGAACAATATTTATTTACTATTTATTGCCAGTTTATTGACATTCTTGTATTTCTTCTATTGTTCTTTGCTGCTACGTTATTTATCACAGTCTTGAAAAATGATTGGTTCTGAGAGATAACCAATCAGATTGTAGAGGAGGTGGGACCAAGACAGCTGATTGGTGGGTATGACTTCCGGCCAAGATCTGATTGGCTATCTCTCTGAACCAATCATTTTTCCTTCTACCATCAGAACATTTTTAAGTAAAACTCCCATGAGCTGACTTGACTTGAAATACATGCCCCGCCCCAGACAGCGCCACCTAAAGGACGGGCTGATGGTGGCTATACAGCTTGACCTACCCGGATCTGGATGTAAGCAAACACGTGATCTTTACTAGCACCTTAAGTGGCTATTTGACGCTGCCGCCTCTCATTAATACCTCGACCTGGCGAATCAGCATTTTGCTTGTGGGCACGCAGGAGTTGCACCTGCCGTCGTGCACGAGCTACACGCGTGTTTCATTAACACGCCGATGGCGCGTGCAGCAGCGACACACGCCAGCCCATGCAGGGAAGCCATCCCGTTAATCCTGTGCTGCCGCTGCTGACTGATGGACGACGGATGCAGGGATTCCCATGAGAGCAGAAGGTTTCCTGCACGGTGCAGTGCGTGCTGACCGCATCTCGCTTGTTTCCCAGCTGACACCTGGAAACATGTCGGGGGGGGGAGGTTGTGGTGTGAGTCAGGTTTAAAACCCCTTCCCCCTACCCCAAAGCCAACCATCCTCCCACCACGACTACAAGATTTGATTTGCTTTCCTCCCAAAACTACAGTAAGTCTTTGTCTGGACCAAAATAAAAACACATATGGGTTTAAGGATAATAAAAGCTCATTTCTACCAAGCTGCAATGTAGCACAAACACCCACACTGTTCTGAATTCACTTGAGAACGAGTATTAATTCTTCCAACTCCCCCAGGGGCTCGTCTAAACTACTCCGGATAAACGTGTGATGATTCACTTCTGTCAAGCTCAGTGTGGCCCCAACTGCATCCTCTAAGCTACTGATCTCCAAACAGGACAGCTCCATCCTGTGCCTTAGCTGCGGAGACAGGAAGCTGTGTTACTCGTCGGGGGGGGGTGTTCTTTTTAGAGGACAAAGACAATTCAGGACCCTGTTTAATTGGCATCGACGACCCCGAGATGCAGAGATCCAACACTGTCCCACAAGAGCTGGAACGGGAGGAGAGAGCCACCCCCAGAACAGCCGGCCTCAGTGACCTGACCGTACGCATCAGGAGAAACAGCAGCACAAACTGAATCTCCATGATTTATAAACAGGCACCGGTCTGAAAAAGCAGGTTCAGTCTTTCAGTGCTCGCACATGATAAGTAACTCTGAAGAACAATTTGGTTCACTCTTACACATTTTACCAAGATGAAGGTGCATTTTCCTCACACAAAGGCTGACGCCTGCCTTTTAAATAAGTCACGGGCATCTCCGTAGACGCCTATATACCCTCCTCACACCTGCTCCCGATGCCCTTGTTCCGCAGATGATGGATGGTGGAGCGTGACGTAGCCGCGACGCTAACATGACGTTTCCTTCACTTTCCTGCTCACCGTTCCTCCTCTAATGGGAGCCGGTCTGTCTGTCCGTACAAGTCGCCCGGCTCTCGCGTACATCAGAGCCCGGTTCTGGGCAGAGACCCTCACAGACACCTGGAACACGAGCCCTGAGGCAAAGAGGACGGAGCGTAGTGCCACCTACAAATTTGGTGGGGCACCACTCAGGAGCCCGGGGGGGTGAGCGGGATGTGTACCCCCAGTATTTCATTTGAATTCATTCATTCCCTCCAATATACAAACCTTTGTATTCAAATTAGTAAGTTGAGTCCCTCCCAACATCAAATTGTCTCCTATGCCGTTGAGCTCAGGCAGAGAAGTGAAAAGGAAAAGACATCCATGCCCATGTTCTACTTCCTGTGAGGTTTTCATCAAAAGACAACTGGCTTGTAAACTCCAAAGATGGCTGTATTATGGCAGAGGGGCACGTCCCCCCCTCCCCCCACAACGGGCAGCCCTGGAAGGATGGAAGATGACAGCTTGTGGGTGTCTTAAGGGTCACCGGTATTTAAACTGGCAGCATCTGATAACACGGAATGTTCTGGACTTTTTGTATGCCACACCCTTTTTTTAGAAGACTGCCCCCTTGTCTATCCTGCTAGGTGTTTTGGGGGGGGGGGTCGTTTACGCCCTTGTTTTTTTTTTAAACGGGGAGACTAGTTGCTCCAAAAGATTTTCGCTCACGCACAAACTGTTCCTCTCTTGCGGGTTTCCAGCATCCCAGTGTCACACCAGCATAAGGCAGATATGGAAAGGACCCCCCCCCCCCCCAGTCAAACTTTAAGAGCCGGGCAGCTTCACAGATCGGGGGCACAGCGGGAGAGTGACCTGTTTCCGGCAAAGGAATTCCCCGCACTGGAGGGGTAGAGGGGGTGGAAGTGTCAGCCATCTGTGAGGCGGCCTGCTCAGGGCTGTCCTGCGTGTCGCGTGTGACATGGGGGGGGGGGGGCACCGGGGGTGGTCGCCTTGGTTGCCTTGCATGTGTGCCTGTGACTGACCCCCCTGCCGGCTGGCCATCAGACTCATAACCACTGCGTAACACTCCGATGTGCAGTGTCCTCAGGTATGCAGCCACCAACCTCCACTTAAAAGATTCACGAAGACAGACACCCCCCTCCAAATAAGGTGAACATTATGGTGAGCTACAGTATCTAACACGTTGAGTACAGACCGCTCCCGTCTGCAGTCTGCCGTGTCGCTCTGCCTGCACGCGTCTGTCGCCTCAGACCGCTGTACCGCTCCCTGTTCAGCACAGTAATGTAACAGGAACGTCAGACGCTTTTTCTGTCGCCATGGGTTGTATTACTTACCCTCTTTTTATGTCAATTACAGACGCTGTTACACAAGAAATAAAGAATTAAAATTAGCCTGGCTTGCAGTATATTTACAAACAATGCACACTGCCGTGCAAACCCTGGGTCTCCTGACAGTATATAAATTGCCTCACGTCCTTTTTTATTTAAAGGACACGCAAGATAAGTTTAGAATATGCTTCACCGCGGTGTATATGTTCCTTTTTGCAGTGTAAAAGTACAGTGCTTTCAATCGGGACATAATCAACGGGCCATTGCGTTGATTTTAATGACTGTATTTATCTTTCTTTTCCGGCTCTTCACCTGTGCCCAGCACCCTCGCAAACTGGCACGATTAATGAAACAAAACCATAAGAATAACTGATCTGGACCTACGATAAGGCTGCGATCGTGGAGGTAATACCCCAACTGGGATTTAAATGTCTCCCTCGATCAATTTCCCACACTGTCATGCTTTATGATCATTATAAAAAAAGATAGCCATAATCTGAAATCGTAACATGATTTTAACTACTGTCGAGTTTAATTTAGGGGAAAGACATTGTACGCATCTAAAAAATGAATGCTTAAAAGCATGATTTGTTAAAAGAAAAAACACCTACGAAAATGATTGTATATGCACTGGGTAGGTTTCTTTTTGCAATCGGTTCCGTTTCTTGTTTATTTTTGTCCTAGTCACCCAGGAATAAACCACAAAGGCCACAAAGGCGTTTTTTGCCTTTTCTTTGTTTAAAGGGGCGCACAAAGGTTGTCGGATTAATATAACTCCTGCTGGTGAGGGGCGTTTTATTAAGAGCCGCCCGTCCCGTGTGGATAAAAAAAGGAAAAGCTGACGGTTCTGCTCGCATCGGTCCAGCATGGACTCTAGAGGGTCTCCTATCCTCAGCATCCACCTACTGCGACGGACGGACGGAGAAATGAGGACGGCGTGAGGAGATCCGCGCACAGCCGGACCGGGGACGCGCATCGCCGCCGAATCAGAGACAGCCGCAGTTTTTAATTCCCGGGGACAAGAGGGGGAAGACAGAAAAGCATCGGCACACCTTCTTTTTGTTATTTCTGATCGCAAGGACGGAGAGAGGTTGTAAGACGTGGGAGATAGTAAGATGTGAACATCTACTTCGTTCGTCTGCTCCGGCGTGACTGCATCTCACACTTTCGTGACTCTAATGAATGTAAAAGATCCCAGACGCCGTGCCATTTCTCTCCTTCGTGTGGGATTTTAAAACGCGTCCGGGGCCGTAATGTCTGCGATATTTCCTTCTTTGTTAGGTAAGTTTATTTTCCGCATAAAGCACATGAATAATGCCACATCCATTGTTCTTTGCGGAACGGAAACACAGGTGACAAATGCACCCGCGGCTCGCGATCGTGCTCAGCTCTCACTGAGATTTTATTGCATTTTGCGGCGGATGAATGTCAATTTTCTGTTTTAAATTTATAAATTCCAGTGGTTACTCTGTACAAAGGGCAGTGTATCCCTCCAGTCATGCACTGCTATTGTCTCTGTCTCTTCAACCTACTACTGACTTGCCAGTCAGATTAAGACTTCAGACACGGCATGGTTTTTAAACAACGCATGGAATATTTTAGTGTGATTTATCGGCATTTATCCTGAATTAAAAAGAGGGAAGTTCCGTCCCGTAAGGGAAAAATCCAACAGGCTTCTGTATAGCAACGTTAAAATAGGGGCACCTTGCCTTTCTGTTATGATAGCCGTATTATAGCCACTGAAGGGTGTTCATTGCTGTGTCATTAAAATACTGCCGGAAGACTGTTTGTTTTTAATTTAATTTTATTTATTTAAATGCACACGTTGTGGGACTCAAAGAGAACCAGTGGCCTTGAGTTTTTGAATGACCTGCGGAGGAGCGCGGGGCTCCTGACCGGTCGGGGCGCGGGGTCAAATCCTGGGGTAAATGTGTTCAAAGGCGCATTGCTTAACCCTCGTCTTTGGGATTGCAAAGTTATGAGACGGCCAGCTGGCCTGGACTGCAAGACGATCGTCTTATATTGGCAAGTAAATAGCGTGTGTTATATATTACAGCAGATCTAAGCCTTTACACTCACGCTCCGTGTTTTGAATTGTGTTACAATCACTGCACCAAACTTTGCAGATTCTTTTTTTTTGTCACACGGCGAAATTGGCAGTATGATTTTAACACATTCACTTGAGCCGTCTTGTGTTGTCATATATCTCTTTGAAGTAAGTCTGGACATTATAGCTAGTTTCATTCTTTACATAGTTTTATGCCGATCGCACGTTTAATTAAAAACACACACACACACAATGTCACTTGTAGTCCCCGTACAGGTGATGGAATGCCGGCCACTTTAAGGTTCGATCTAGCCGCGATAGTAGGGATAGTAGGCGGCTCGGATGCTCGGCAGTGCGCACTGCGCCGCCCTTCTGCGCCCCATCCCGCCGTGTCACACGCTTACACGTCCTTGGGACGACGCCGAAACCCCGCGCTCTAGTCCGGGACATCGCAAGGTCTATCGCGGCGGGCGGACAGCGGCGCTGAGTCCCCGCTGCCTTACGCAATGCCGTTCTCAGTCATCAGCGTGCATCATTTTACAACTGGCAAAAAGACACTGCTGGTACCGTGACTAAATTAATTCAACAACCCATCCCCTCCCCCCGAGCCTGCGTGGGTGTTTTCGTTGTCATATCGAGCTCCCTCTCTCATTCTCCCGCTAACAAGCTTTTTGAAGATATTGATCTCCTTTGATCTGGACTGATGCTATCGGCCAATTGTTCTCGTTATGGAATTTCTGGTCGTGCAGCTTTCAATTTAGAATAACGTAAGACCGGTATATTAAAGTTACTAATTTCTGTTACACTTCTAGAACTGACTACCGTCATACATAAACGCCACAATGGGAAATACATCAATGTCTACAAACTTGGACTCTCAGCAGCTTCTCAGGCGCTGTACTGTTCAGTCGTGATGGGGCTCACATGTTAGTTCAGGATGAAATACCTTCCTTTCTCCCTTTGAGTGACTGGTGATTTAACACGAGCGTTTTTAAAATTCCACCCCAGAGGTGTTGTGCCCTTGTCCGGCGGAGGGGGGTTGGGTGAACGCCTACATCTCCTTCTCCTATAGGCTGGAGTACTGCATCACGGGGGGGGGGGGGGGGTTTATGGACCGGCGCCGGACGTAGGGGCTCTGACCTCCACTGTCCACATGCATATTGCATGCGCCGAGTAAATATTAAAATCTCCGCGAGTGCAGTCGAGTTCTCGACGCTCGAGGTGGATCGGGGGGCAGGTTAAGTGGTGCTTCTGCCTGCCTTCTATATTTAGTCTATAATCTCCGGAGACGTAGAAGGTCTGGGTCAATTTTGGAGGCGTCTCGGGCCTCCGATATCCGCAGGTCACGTGGTGACATCTCCCTGCGAACGGACCTCGATGACCCTGGTCGAGCCGCAAAGGCGTCCTGATCATGCTGTCCGCCCGCCTCGATAACCCTGAAACGTCCGTGACTAACGTACATTTAACGTACGTGAGCGTTTTCTCAAATAACCTCTCACTTGATGCGATTTAGTCTTCATTATTATTATTATTATTGTTGTTGTTATTATTATTATTTGTTGTTGTTGTTGCCAGCAGGTTTTCATCCCATAACACAATGCACCGCTGGTACCGTCGATTCATTCTGCGTTAGATTATCTTGTTCGGCTGAACTCTCACTGAACCCCGAACCGCTTAGTTACAGTTCTGGGTAGGTTGAAGTGTCCAGCTGTTGTACCCTTGAGCTAGGTGGTTGGCAAGAATGGTTTCTATAAATAACTTCCTGTCTAAATCGGTATTCTGCTAAAATATGATCTACCCACTAAAACACGCCACTAACTCGTTTGATCACTGCTTCCTGACGGTACAAATAATTTATAAATAACATCGTGGCTGTTATATATTTAGGCTATTTCAGATTCTGATCCGCATAATGTTTTGATGCGTGTAATCCCGTGGTTTCCTGCAATCCAATTTTACTATCCGTTTTGTATCTGCAATAGTGGACCTCACTATTCGTCATCTTTCTTTTGGTATTTTTGGTCGGGCAGAGGCTGGGACATTCTTGTGGCGCTGGGCGAGGGAATTTTCAAGCCTCTTAATCCCTAAATGACTCCCAGAGTGACACAAATGAGGACCAGATGCAGGAGTATGCTGGTCAGGGGACTGCCGAAATATGCAGACGCTGACCGGCATGGCCCCAGCCAGACTTTTTTATTTAATAAAGAGTGGCAGTTTTATACCACGACTCGAGGCCCCACCCACTTTGTGTTGCCTGTCCGTAAATTGACAGTAGACTTTGCGCTCAGCAGGTTATCGAAATTCATCTCAGCACCCACTGAACAATATTCCATCAGCTTTAAAACAAGCATTAATATATCTTGATGTTAAACAGGAAAAGAGGACCTCAACCCTTGTGTATTCTGTTTCTAATCTTTTAATTCAGTTTCCCATGAATCCTTAGTGCTTCGAAAAATGTACCATTTAGTTTAGGATACAACCCTGTTCCCAAAGAAGTTGCCATGCTGTGTATAATGTAAATAAAAGCAGAATACAATGATTTGGAAATCATATAAACCCATGTTTAATATAACAAAGACAACATATCAAATGTTGAAAGTCAGAAATTGTATTGTTTAATAACAAATATATGCTCGATTACAATTTGCCAGCAACACGTTTCAAAAAAGTTGGGCCAGGGGCATGTTTACTGCTGTGTTGCATCACCTCTTCTTTTAACAGCACTCTGTAAATGTCTGGATACCGAGGAGACCAGTTGCTGGGGTTTTGAAAGCGATTTGTTGTCCCATTCTTGCCTGATACAGAATTTCAGCTGCTCAACAGTTCGGGGTCGCCTTTGTCATATTTTTTGTTTCATGATGCGGTAAATGTTTTCAGTGGGTGACAGGTCTGGACTGCAGACAGGCCAGTCTGGCACCCGGACTCTTCTACTACGGAGCCATGCTGTTGTAATAGGTGCAGAATGCGTGTTGGCATTGTGTTGCTGAAATATACAAGGCCTTTTCTGAAAATGACAGCAGCATATGTCGCTCCAGAACACACACACACACACACACACACATATATATATATATATAATCTCCTTCAGCATTAATGGTGCCTTTCACCCCAGCCATGGGCATTAATGCACCCCCATACCATCATGGATGCTTGGCTTTGAACTGTCCGGTGATGACAAGCTGGATGGTCCCTCTCCTCTTTAGCCCAGAGGACGCAGCATCCATGTTTTCTAAAAAGAATTTGAGATTTTGACTTGTCAGACCAGATGATAAGCTTTTCATTTTGCCTCAGTCCATCTTACATGAGCTCGGGCCCAGAGAAGCCGTTTCTGGGTCGTGTTTAGACATGGTTTCTTCTTTGCATGGTAGAACTTCATCCTGCATTTGTGGATGCAGTGACAAACTGTGGTCACAGATAATGATTTTCAGAAGTGTCCATGCAGTGACTTCCGCTGTAGAATCATGTATGTTTGTAATGCAGTGCCATCTGACGTCCCAAAGGTCACGGCGATACAATATCCAACTCAGTCTGACCTCTGCTGGTCCTCTGCTGGTCCTCTGCTCTATGTCTGCCCACTGCCACCAATGCCACGCCCAGCCGTTGACCTCAGCCTCCAGGCAGGTCAGGAAGCACTGGAGATGTCTAGCGCAACTGCACCACTGGAGCGACCTTCAGTACAAATGGGGCATTTCCAGACTTCCTGGTCGGATGTCTTGTTCAATTCTGAGGGACATCTTGGTTTCAGGCTGTAAGGTCTTTTTAACAGCTTGGCCCAGCTTCAGTAGAATATACCAGAAAGTCAGACCTTTTCAATCTTTGTATTTTTTTTTTATTCCGTTACCTATTAGCTTGTCTCCATCATGCCAGTTACCTTGTATTGACATGTTTTATGATGAAAGGTCTTTATGGTCACCCCCCATCCCCATCTGTGGTTCTTTAAATCTCTCCCTCCAAATTATCAGCCTGCCTTTGAGCTCTTGCTGGCCTAATGAAAACCAGACTGCATGGCTGGGGATTCATTCTAAACAAGGACGTTCACCTTGACGGGTGATGGATGTTTCTGGATCGCTCAGGCCACGTTTCGAGCCACGCTTGGACCCCTTCTACTTTCCGCCAATAGATATTGCATCCGGAACCATCCATCTGAGGCGAGGGCCGGCTCCGTACAGCCCCGCCGACAAGTGGCAGGTCCGGAGTTATGTAACACTGTCCTCTCTGAACAGGAATGTGCTTT